CAAGTTGAGAGCTATGTTATTTGGCACAATTAACAACTTTCCTGCGTATGGTAATCTCTCAAGGTATAGCATTAAAGGACAACTTGGTTGTCCCATTTGTGAAGAGAGCACAGATTCCATAAGGTTGAAGCATGGAATGAAAAATTCATATATGGGACATCGTAGATGGTTGTATCGTGATCATCCTTACCGGCGATTCAAAAAATATTTTAATGGGAATTCAGAAGAAGGTAAGGCACCAACACCATTGATTGGGGAGGATGTATTTCAAAAGGTGAAAGATATAGATTGTGAATTTGAAAAACCTTTTGCGAAGCATGTTGGGACAAGTGGGTGGAAGAAGAGGTCTATTTTCTTTATACTGCCGTATTGGATAACCCTGAATGTGAGACATTTTCTTGATGCTATGCATATTGAGAAAAACATATGTGAAAGTCTGTTTGGCACATTACTCCATATTCCCGGGAAGACTAAAGATGGCATAAATGCCAGGCTAGACATGGTTGAAATGGGGATAAGGGAGGAATTGGCACCAGAGGATAAGGGAACTCGTACATTTCTTCATCCGGCAGCTCACACCCTTTCTAGAAAACAGAAAAGTAGTTTTTTGTGAGTTTCTTGCTTCAGTAAAAGTGCCGGAAGGTTACTCTTCTAACATTAGTAACCTTGTGTCAATGAAGGATATGAAGTTAAAAGGTTTAAAATCTCATGACTGTCATGTCTTAATGGAAAACTTTATTCCAGTGGCAATACGGGCTATTTTACCTGATAAGGTACGAGTTACGATCACAAAGTTATGTTTCTTCTTTAAGTCTCTTTGCAGCAAAGTGATTAATCCTAGTAAATTGCCAAGATTGCAAACCCGAATCATAGTTACGTTATGTGAACTTGAAATGTATTTTCCTCCGGCCTTTTTTGACATCATGGTCCATTTAACCATCCACTTAGTTAGAGAGGTCCAACTGTGTGGCCCAGTGTATTTAAGATGGATGTACCCAGTTGAGCGTTACATGAAAATATTGAAAGGGTATGTGAAAAATCGAAGTCGGCCAGAGGGTTGTATTGTAGAACGATATATTTGTGAAGAGGCTACTGAATTTTGTACCCATTACTTAAAAAATGCAAGTGATATTGGGGTTCCAATGTCTCGTCATGAGGGAAGGACAGATGGAGAAGGGATTATGGGAAAGAAAGTCGTAACTATTTCAAACCAACAGTAGGAGCAGGCACATCTATATGTATTGCACAACTCTGAAGAGATTGAGGACTATGTGCATGAGCATATTGATGAGCTAAAGAGGGATAATCCCAATAAACTTGAAAGTTGGTACACCAAAACACACAATAAACAATTTACAGCATGGTTGAGAGAGCATGTGCATGGCAAGTATAATAATGATCCTAATTCTGTTTCGAAGAAATTAAAGTTGTTGGCAGATGGACCGAGCAAACATGTGATTTCTTTCACAAGCTACCTTATGAATGGGTTCACTTTCTATACTAAACAACAAGATGATCAGAGTAAAACAAAATAGTGGCGTAACTCTTGTAGCTAGTACCATGCATATATCGAGTGCCAAAGATAAAAATCCTATCTATGCACGTATGTCATACTTTGGAGTGATTGAGGATATTTGGGAGTTGGATTACATTGAATTCAGAGTTCTGGTATTTGGTTGCAAATGGGTGGATAATAATAATGCATTGAGGATTGATGACTTAGGGTTTATACAATTGAATTTGAATAAAGAAGGATACAAGGAAGAGCCATTCATTTTGGCTTCTCAGGCTACGCAAGTGTTTTATGTCCCTGACCCGGCTGCCAAAGGATGGTCTATTGTTTTGTTGACTAATAAAATGGATATTGAAGAGACGGGGTATGAAGACAATGCAATTGAAGATGATCCATTTCAAGGGGCCTCACTTGATTCTCATTTAAATGAAGATCAATCCATGTATATCAGGCATGATCACAACGACGGAATATGGATTTCAAAGAGGGGGAAAGTGTTTCGTAAGAAGATCAAAACAATTCAAACCAAGAAGAACATGCAAAAACATAAGAGTAGAAAAAGAAAAAGATCTTCTTAAACATACATGTAAATTCTCTCATTATTTTCTTTGATTCTTTTATTTGTTTCAATTTTGTTCAAATAAATTTCATTATTAATGACTTTATTTTCATTTAATGGATTATGATTCATTTTGTTTACTTCAATTTCATTGTAGATGGCAGACGATAGCGGATCTAGCACTGATAACCTATCTCAGCCGAGAGATGCCTCTGAGCAGGAGAGACAGTTGCAAGAGGAGGCAGCACGCATACAGAGGGGCCTTTGTGTCATGCAAGAGGTTGTGAAAGCTCGAACAGAAGGAAAGAAATTTGCCGTACAGTGGAATAAGAAAGGACAAGCTGTACGATCAAATAAATTTATCAGCTATATTGGGGCAGTGGCACGAAGCACCGTGCCCATTACAACGCAGCACTGGAGGAGGGTTGATCGTTCAGTGCGAGACACTATTTGGACAGATGTATCGTTAATATATTATAACTCAAATTTCGTTTTCTTACAAGCTACGTGACACTAATGTGTTGTTTTATATATTTTGCAGTCTGCATTTGATATAGATGAGAGCAGGAAGAGGTTTGTGGAGGGGTAGGCTGGGAGGGCACTACGCTCTTTCCGATATTTTGTCACACACAAGTACTTGAAGGATCCTTCCACAGCCGACGAGTCCCAGGTTCCTAGCTTGATACGGGACTTGGTCAAACCAAAGGATTGGGCTGCTTTTGTGACGTCACGTCGTGATAGGCAATTTCAAGTAATAATCCTCGCTCTTTTTGATATTAAATAGTCCATTTTGTTTAATCTATATATTGTTTAATTGTGAATCTACTTTGTTTTTGCAGGAATTAAGTTCCCAAAATAAGGAAAGAGTAAAGAAGAATGAGTATTCCTACCGAAAGGGCCGCTTGGGTTATGCGGGCCTTGAGCAAGAGGTGACTCAGCAGGAGGGATCAGATGTCACTGTATCACGTCAGATGCTGTGGGCACTGGCCAAGCAAAATAAAGATGGCCAAATTGATAATCCTCGCGTTAAGGAGGTCATGGACAGGATGGTGAGTATTATTCTAAATTAAATAATCTTCACGTTATTGTAAATATCTTTAAGTATGAATAACTATATCAATGTTTGTTGCACAGGAGAGTTTGTCCCAGGAAGTTTTACAGGGGGTATATTCTGCAGATGACCAGGATATATTGAGGAGGGCATTGGGGACTCCTGACCATCCTGGTCTTCTTAGGGGCGTCGGTTATGGAGTCACCAAGAGAGATTACTTTGGGTACCGACAAAAGCCCTCTTCATCGTGCACGCCTTCCTCTGCTGAGTTCATGGAGCTGAAGGAAGAAACACGCTGGTTAAAGGAGCAAGTTAAAGCGCAAGCGCTCCTAATCGAGCAGTTGATCAAGAATCAGGCACCACAGCCGGCTCTAAATCTCAGCCCAAGTGGCAAAGACAGCTGCACATTCCCCTTGCTACCTGAGGTATAATACTTGTGTTTATATAATTACATTCAATAATTTATATATCTAGCTAACTTGTCTCTCATGTTAAACAAATCAGGGTGAAGCGAACGTTCAGTGTATGGCGAATAGCCCTAAACATCACACTGTTGCAACGGGCCGCATGTTCAATTTACTGGGGGAGAGTATAATTCATAATGTTCCTCTCCCTGCTGATCATGTGAGGGTGCAGTTAAACACTGCTATTGATGCGAATTATGCCCTCCCGATACTCACCCCAGATGCAGAGACAGTGTCTCAAGCAGTGGGTAGCTTTGTCGCTTGGCCTGGCCGTCTTCTTACATTAGGACATCCTTCAAAGGTATATATGTATAGGTCTACAAATTCAGCTGATTTAAAATAAACTCTATTTTAATTACTAACAGTCTGTTTGTCAGTCTAAGGGGAAGAAGAGCCTATTGGGTGATCACTCATTATCATCACCACAGAAGCAGCCCTCTGAGCCCGTTCAAGTGGTATCATCAAGATTCCGAATATGTCTTGAGGAATATGCAATTGGGGCCAGATTAGAACATGGCGAGGATTTCATGATTCCCCTAGAGTTTGAGCCAGAGGTATACGGTCGACCCTCGTCAGATTATGTCACAAATGAAGTATTGAAAGAGATTCTGACGCATGGAATGGCCAGCACAAATACCTGTAACTTTTATATCAGGTATTTGTTAAAACCTTAACTAAATACTTAAGTACTTGAACATTTATTCTATTGATATCTTCGTTTGTTGATTTAGATATCTTTTCAAGAACTTCATAGCCCCTGGTGGCCTTGATGACAAGTTCAAGATTATCAGCCCCCACACTTTTGCTGGCCACGGACCTAATATGAAGAAAGACTTATCCAGAGACTTGTTGGATATCTTCATTTCTAGGGCAACACCGGGGGCTCAAACTTTGTTTTTGGCGCCTTATTGTCAAGGGTAAACTTTCCTAAATTCTTTCATTTTCAAAATAATTTGTAATAGTTCTAATTGTCTTTCTTATACTTAGGGGACACTGGATGCTGATTGTGGTCAATCCCACAAAGCCGAGGATTTGGTATCTTGATTCTCTTCATGGGGATCCAACCAATCGACCATTTATGGTTTCATTGTTCAACAAGCAATATTTATCTCTATTATTTAAATTTAATTTAATTTCTTGCTTCAATCAAATTTTTGACAATCATTAATATTCAATTTTATTGTCTTCTCAGGGCTTTGTGGCTATACCGCACAAATCAGGCATTACCCTGCCCCCCGATAAAAAACGGCCAATTTGACGATGCCTTCCCGTGGAAGAAAGTGAAGGTATTCACTACCATTATTTACTATTCTACTAAATATGGTTTATTTATATGATTGACTAATATTATTTCCTTTTCCATTCTTTACAGTGCCCACGTCAGCCCAACAAGAGCTCCCATTGTGGATATTGTGTGATGAAATTTATGAAGGAGATAATTCTGCACAATGCTGACACAATTCCCACGCAGGTAATATGCATTTGTTAAGGTTCAATTTATATATTTAAGAATTATTGTACTTACTGTAGCTTTACATTTCTATCTAACTTAAGTCATAATTTGTGGTTGCATACAGTACTTTGCCGACACATATTGCACAGTGTATTCATCTGCTCAGATGGAAGAAATCGTTGAGGAGTTGGCGATGGCCTTATTCCGTCAGTGGGCACAACATAGATAGGGAAGTGTACATTAAGACAGTGTATGTACGTACAGCTAGCTTTGGTTTCAATATAATTTTGGTTTTGGTTCATTTTTGGCTGTTGGTTAGTTTTAGGCATTGCACAACTTTGGCAATTGGCTAATTTTGGAATTGGTTCACCTTTTGTACTTGCCAGAATTTTAATATATCACAGTTGGTTTTCATTGGTTCATGTATATATATGATAATGTAAATTATTTTCGGTTCATTAACATATATGTATATGGCTGAATTGGTTTGAATGCTGGCCTGTATGATTCTATTGAATGAGCCTTTGTTATCGGTTTCAAAATTGCAGGGGGTTGCTGGCAAAGGAGAACGAATTTTTTTAAAAAAAACCAATAATACTTGACGGTTATTAGTTAAAACCGTCAAGTATTCTAACATACTTGACGGTTACTTTTAAAACCGTCAAGTATTAAATAATACTTGACGGTTTTTCAAAAATAACCGTCAAGTATGTTTCATAATACTTGACGGTCACTTTTGGAACCGTCAAGTATTCCAGAATACTTGATGGTTTTTGGAACCGTCAAGTATAATCTCAAAATAATTGGCGGTTTTTCTCTAGTAACCGTCAAGTATGATTTAAATATTTGACGGTTAATAACCGTCAAATATTTGCTGTTGAAATATATGACGCCAGTATAGTTGACGGTTTTTAACCGTCAAATATGATCCAAAATAACCGTCGAGTATTTTTCATTTTGTAGTAGTGGTGTAAAGATGATTACATAAAGTTGATAATCGTCTTGAAGTTGACGAACTTGAAGGTGAGAAATAGTTGACTAATACTAATTTCATGGAATTGCTTAAGTTGTTGAGTGACATGCTTGTTAAAGTAAATTCACTTTCAAAAGAAATGTACGAGGTGAAGAAAATTTTATGTCCAATGCGTTTAGGGTATGAGAAGACATGCATGCCCTGATGACTACATATTATACAAACATAAGCATAAAGGGTTGAATAAGTATCTTAAATATGGCACTTCAAGATGCAAAGCGAAAAAAAATGGTGGTGATTGTGATAAGATGACCAAAGGCTCTTCTTTAAAGATGCTGTGGTGTCTTCCAATAATACTGTGGTTTAAATGTTTGTTTACTAATGCCGCGGAAGCAAAGAACTTGAGATAGCATTCTGATGAGAAAATGTGTGATGGAAAACTTTGTCACTCGTTTGATTCTCCTTAATGGAAGACAATAGATCAAAAAAATTTTCAAGTCAATAATGAGCCAAGAAACCTTCAACTCGGGCTTTGTATGGATAGAATCAATCCTTATGGTAATCTCAATAGCACACATATTGCTTTGTTAGTTCTCCTTGTAATTTATGACTTGCTTCATTGTTTATCTATGAAAAGAAAGTATATCATATTGTCTTTGATGTTCTTGGGCCTAAAAGTAGCTAGAAAACAATAACTTGGTATCTTTGTTAAAGACTTGAAGAAACTATGGGAGAAAGGTATTGATATGTTCAATACATATAAACAAAAGACCTTCAGACTGGCATGAATTTTACCATGATAAATGACTTCTCCACGTATGAAAAATTGTTAAGATACAATGTTAAGGGTATAAAATGTGTCCCATATGTAAAGAAGACACTCACTACATACAACTTAGGCATGAAAGGAAGATGGTCTACTTTGGTCACAAAAGATGTCTTAGTCGACACCAATTTTACCATAGGTTACATAAGATTGTAGGTAAGAGGAACATATGAAAGAAGAGGTCTATCTTCTTAGATCTTCTACAATGACAGGGTCTAAAAGTGAGACACGGTGTAGATGTCATGCATGTGGAGAAAAACACCTGTAAGAGCCTTACTGGTACACTTTTGCACATAAGTAGAAAGACTAAGGATGGAATTAATACGAGACAGGATGTAGTTAAAATTGGAATAAGAAAATTGCTACACCCACAAGAAAAAGAGGGTAAGAGGGCTTATTTGCACCCAGCAGTGACATATTGTGAAAGGAAGAAAATACAACCTTCTGCGGTTGTTTGAATAGTACTACCTCTGGTCCTAAATATAAGAGCTAGTTGACTAATTTGAGTAGATTAAAGAAATAAATTAAGTTAGTTATTTGTAATAAATAAGTGTTATTTTTCCTAAAATACCCTTGCTAGTCAAGTTTATTGGTTAGAACTACTATTTTTACAAAGGCTACTTTGGACCAAAAAAAGATAAATATGAGAGATAAAGTAGATCAGGATCTTATATTTAGGACCAAAATAAAAGTCAAACGAGATCTTATATTAAGGACCAGAGATAGTATTAAGGTGCCATAAGAGTATTCTTCTAATTTGAGAAAGCTTGTTTTAATGCAAGATTTCAAAATAGCAACAATAAAGTCTCATAAGTGGCACAAGCAATAATTACTTCCAGTGACTATTCAAGGCATTATAAAAACTAATGTGAGGAGGAGCACTATTATTAAACTTTATATGTTCTTTAATGTTATTTGCAACAAAATGATTGATCCTGCTAAGTCTTAGAAAATTAAGAAAAAATAAGGACAATGTTCCTTGAGAATTATATGGGATTGGAAAATTAGTTTTATGACCAAATTGCCCTTAGAGAAATCATAAAGGGATTTAAGGGCGATTTAAGCTAGTTTAAGGTCCTTTATTTGGAAAATTCCAAATAAATAATTTTAAGAAAAATAAAATCCCAAGAAAATTCCTATGATATCCCAAGGAATTATAAGAGATTATGGAATTAAAAGAAAACCCTCAAGTACCCAAGATTTTTCCCAATTCCTTTGAAAAGAGGAAAAATCACTAAAGAGAAGGAAAATAGTTTTCCTTTTTATTTAATTATTGGAAAATTAAATTTGAGACAAAGAGGAAAATTTAGGAAGATAAAAATGAGAAGAATAATTTATGGATCTGACAGAAAATAATTACAGAGGTCAGAGTACTGTAATTATAGAAAAGAAGTTAAACCCGGATTAAAAGTGCACTGATAAAGCAAGAAGTAGAGTCTTGCACTTTACTTGGCTTACAAGTTACCACTTGTCAAGCCACCAATGGAGAGGATTTGAGGTTACCAAATCTCAAGCCTTGATTGGAGAGGATCTTGACTTTTGAAATTAATTTCAATTGTCATTAAGTTAATTAAGAGGGAAAATTCAAGAAGGAGTAGGCACTTGACACTTGGCTCCTCATTAATGTTGGTAGGTGAGATATTTTGGTACATTGAATGAGCTCATCCTCCCCCTAAATCTAATCCATATTTTGGCCAAGAGGGAGCTTGAGAGGAAAAGAGAGAGTTCAAGGGAGAAATCAAGAGAAAGGCATCAACTTTGAGCATACAAGTGAGATCCAAGGTAAGTTTTTGGTTCTAAGTTGTTCCTTGCCTTGTTTGCTTGAGTTGTATGGTTGAAATTTCTGGTTCTCTTCCTCTTTGAGTTCTAGCCAAAATGCTTCTTATGTAAGGGAGGGAGTTTGGTTGTTAGATCTTGCTAGAACACTTCAAAGTATGGTAGATCCTAGTGGTTACAAGAGTTTATAAGTTAATTTTGAAGTGTTTCCTTTGCTATGTTGCTTGAGTTCCATTTCGGCCAAACCAAGATCAAAACCCAAGGATGTGTTTTTCAAAGTTTTGAGGCTTCCATTGTGTTCAAAATGAAAAATGGTGTAGGGTAAACCTAAAGAACAAGTGTTGAAAGCCATAAAATCAAAGTTACAATTTTTGGATTTTGAACCCTAATGGTTCGGCCAAGCTGAAACTGAAAGAAGGAATTTTATTTTGTTAAATCTAAGTAGATATTTGGAATCTACATGAAAAATAATGTAGGAATGGGTCAAGAGGGATTTTTAAGGTTTATGGAAACCAACTCTAAAAATTCAAGAACAAAAATTGAAGCTTTAAGGGGTTTAGGAATTACTTGAGTTATGTTATTGATTCTTATGAGGAATGGTTGTTGATTCTTGCTGCCCTTTTTGTGAATTGCCATACTAGGGTTTGGCATTTGTGGAAGCAAGAAAGAAGAACAAGAAAATCAAAGAGCATTGGATTAAGGCAGTAAGATTTAATTGACCTTAATGTTGAGTGTTGCATTGATTGCTATGCAATTTCATGTGCTATTATGTGGTTGAACTAAATGATGATGATGATGATGATTGTGTAGCTATACTCCTTGCTTTATGTGCCTTGGCTATTGCATGTTAGAGTGCTACATGTATGAGGTAAAGTAGTTCCCTATTAATAGCAAAAGGTTGAAATGCTTGTAATTGATGCATGTTAATGTTTTGGCTGATTGATCTTACTACTGGGATTTCTTAAAATCTCATCCCCCAAATATAATCTAACATTTTAGGGCCTGAAACTCCCAAGAGCAAGCTGCAGATTGGAGGCTAAATTATGGTGTCACACCAAAAAAATTTGTGGACATTTGGTTATGTATAAGTATCTATGGTTGGTACTGTAATTCCTAAGCAAGATGTCAGTTTAGAGCCACGTTTTATTTAGTTACTAAGTGAATTCCTGCACTAAATTTGGTATACTTAAATTTCACATCCTGAGCTTCAAATCGATAGATAACATGTTAAAAATGGCCAACTACATGATTTTTAATGATTTTTCAAAGTTAAGGTTCAGAACCTGAAAAAAGGATTTTTGCCAAATAGACAGAGGTGAATTTCACAAAAACCTGACACTTTTTCAAATGGAATTGGTTTCATAAGCTTATTTTTCCTTGAAAGAGGATTCAAAGATATTTTTATAGAATTTTGAACCACTCCATTTTGATTTTTCTAGATTAAGTTATAAATTTTTGAAGTTGGGCCAGAAAACTGGATTTTTATCCGATGAACAGTAAAAATCCGAAAATCAGTGTTTTTCATGGATTTTTGAGCCCAAGACCATCCAAGGTGGTCTAAAATGGTTTTAATTAAACCCTAAGTGGATCCGATAGTAAGTTGTGATATTAAGAGATATATAGCTGATGAGGTTGTTGAGTTTTTTAATGCATATCTTAATGGGATGGGTTAAACTAGTTAGACTTCCCTAACTTGACATGTTCAAGGGAGAAGTAAGGGAAAATG